TCTTAACCAGTTGAACTATGTTGAGATTGACATATATTTGATTTGACTTATTTAAATAGTAATAATAAATGTGTCGGAATTAAAGAACATAATTCTAGCTCCATTGCTGTGTCATTTTATGTTTCTTTTTCTTTTCCATATAACTTCCATCATTGGATATTGAGATAGATTTGAAATGAATATAATTGAATTATCTATAGATAAAAGCTTTCGATCATTTATGAAAAAGAAGGTGAGATAAGATTAGATTAAGATAGTATATACTTTGCTTAAAATAGGATTTGGTATATTATATTTTAAGGTATAACAAATATCAAAACTCATTTATATTTTAAAACTTTCAAGATCCCAAATTTGCCCTAAATTCTTTGTATAAGTTACAATCTTGTCACTCTTTCTTATTTGTTACTTCAATCTTCCAATTCTAGTGAAATAATTGAGGAAAGCTTGCACCCTAGACAAATAATCTAAGGCAAATCTAGGACAAAGTAGAGGCTACTTAGTTCATATTTTTTTAAGTACAACATAAGGATGTCTTAACCACTTGAGCTATGCTCGATTTGACAGAAATATGAATACATTAAGAATCTATTATATAGATTTGACACTTTTAAAATTCAAAGACCTACTACACAAAATTAAAAGTTAAACTTGTAATTTAACTATCAATTATTTCAATTAATAAGTAGTTCGTGGTTTTTAAATATGTTATAGGTCTTATTAACATTTATCCACGATCTCGAAGTGATTCATATTCTTTTAAGGATAAATTTTAGATTTGATAGAGATTGGACTATTTACTAATGAAGTTTTACATGTAGCGTCATCGTTGAAGATCCAGCGCAAAGATGGAGTTCCCTGTACCCTAACTGGCCGCTTGCCTCTTTGATTTTGACGTCATTGTCTTTTAATTTTTGTTTTATTCCTAAATTAAATAATTAAAATATCTCAATATATTTTATTAACTGATTAAAGCTACATAAATGGTAATAAACTATGGATTCTAGAAGGCGAAATATCCAGTTTGTTGAAAATTACAGGCATTGGAAAAATTACAATATATTAATATAGTTTATTAAGAGATTCTTTTATTTTCTCACTCGACAACTATATGTTATTAAGAGTTAAAAGACCGATTTAACCTTGTTTTATTATTCTTCTCAAAATAATAGTAAAAAAAAAAAATTTATTATCGGATGAAAATATTGTAAAATGAACCGCCAATTATTTATTGTTTTTATTTCTTTAGTACAACATGTAAAGGTGGAGGATCGAACTCACAATCTCTTGATTTGATAAATATCTCAATTACCACTAAGCTATAATCGCTTTAATTATATAAACTAATTATTATTACTGTTTGAAAGGTCCATTGACCATATCCATTTATTTTTATCTCAATTCTTTTCATCATACTATCTATTATCATTCTATCCTCGATAGTAATTGATAAACTTTCTTAAAAAAATATTACTTTTTTTAGTGCAAATTAATCGAGAGTATGAAAATTTTAACCTCCAACCTCGAAAGAGTAAATATTAATTATCACATGAATTTATATTTGGTTCCTTACCAATAATGATCAAATATGTTTCTCTCGCAGTTAAAAAATAGAAAATAGTTGCTAAGAGGAATCTTGTCGCTAAAGCATGACTCGGCTATATTTGAAACCGCTAAATTAATCTGAGACACTCTCTTACCAATGTTTCTAGAAAGTCTTCGGTTTGGAAACTTTTGCCATACACGGTTAGTTCCAAGTTCATGACGTGGCCAAACTAAATTAAAAAACCATGGCGGATCAAATCCAATCTTCAGCCTTCCAGAAGCTCCCCGGAGGAAGCATCCTCCTCATTCCCTCTTTCTCCGCTATCTATTTAATGGATCTCCGCCCGCTACGGCAACGCAACGCCATGATCTTCATCTCATCTACCTTAATTTCACTCTAATTTTCTTCTCCGAAAGAATTTTGTACTTCAATGGCGGCAGTGGAGCACGATCCAGATGTTTTGAGCCTCGTGGACGACGACGACGAAGACGCTCTCTCTTTCCGCGGTTTTCCGATTCACGATTCAGAGCCGGATCAGGCCGGTGATGATGATCGGCCGTCTCGATCTCCGTCGACCTTGCACGGATTGTTCGAGTTTCGTACCGATTCGAAGCAGCAAACAAGTTCATCGCCTGGTGGAATTTTGTTCTGCGGGAAGATTATGGACGCCGTAACGCTCGATTCCAATTCGAAATCGTTTGTGCGAAATCAGAGCATTCGGTTCGGGAATGAATCGAAATTATCGTTTTCGTCGCCCGCAGTCGGAGGTTTAGGTTTCGGAGGTCAGCGGAATAATTCGAGGAGGCCGAAGGCGTTAATAGGATTAACGAGAACTCCGTCGAGAATGGAACTGAGCGAGATTCGGAAGAGGCAGGCTCGGCTGGCACCGGTGCCGATGTTCCATGTGGTTCCGGCGGAGGACATGGCGGCGGTAACTGTTGCCGCCGATGGCTCCGGCGGAGGAATCAGCCCGTGGAGTTTGATTAGGCCTCTCAGGTATAGGTCCGTCCTGGTTAGAGTGTTGGCTAAGGCAGCTTCTAGTTGTATAACTCATGTTTGAGTTCTGCCTTTCAGTTTCTGCTGATTGCTTTCACCTTCCGATTCGATTTCCTTTCTTTTCTTTTGTTTTAGTTTTAGACTTTTCTGTAATCTTTATATTCTTTTTATTATTTATTTACCTTTTTTTTTTTAATTCTTAATCCGTTTGTATATAGACTCTTTTGCATCCCTATATAATACGTGTATACTATATTTAACAGAAATCCCAGTGCCAAGATATAGATTTCTAATTTAGATTATTCGGTACGTATGCGGTAAAATATGAAATGACTTGCAGTTTTGAAAGTACATGGATTAAAATGAACCGAAGTTAGAAGTATAGGAATCAATATAGATGTTCTAAAAACACTCGAACTAAACTAAAATTAAAAGTATCAAAATGAAAAATAGTATTGAAACCTTAAATATAATATAAAAATAGAGTATCTATACCTATTTTTATTGGAACCTTAAATATAATGTAAAAATAGAGTATCTATACATATTTTTACCAGCATAGCAATGCAATCGAGTCCTCTAGGTAATTACAATAAGGTATATTATTTCATGGAAAGTAGAACTCCCACTTTCACTCAAATTACAAGCGACTGAATTACTCTCTTTTTTTAAGCACAAATGTGGGGTGGAAGATAGAACTCTTAACTTTTTTTTTAAGATATATGCTAATTATCGTTGAGTTATACTCGCTTTGACAACTAAATTACTCTTCTTATTTGAAAAGTTTATTGTCGTTTTATACGGAATAGGATATAATTGTTTCTGTTTTCTAAGCCAATGATCTGAAATACGAGAAAGAGATATATGAAAGAGAGAACTCAACTTTTCAAAATAAGTTTTTTTTTACCTGATGTTGATGTCACCATGCCTGAAAGTTACCATCTTGCCCTTATTGGTGAAGACACATGAAACCTTGTTGAAAGAGAAGCAAAAGAGATCTAGCAGAAAAAGTATGTCGTCTTCTCCATTTTTCCAATGATAAAAAATCATATACTTTGAGAGAGTTTTAGGAACAAAAAATAAATGAAAACGACTTCTGCCTTCTAGATCCATTTGCTTACGCCTGTCTTCACTTTAAGATGGCAAATCACAATCATATGACACCAGCAACAAGTCAAAGAAAACTAATTTGCTTAGATTTCCCCACTAGATTTTAGGTCATTTACTCAAAAAGCCCAATACAATTCCAAATTCTATTCTCCACCCAATATATAAAACTTATGGTTATGGTTTATCTTTTAGGTCTTCATTAATTAAGTGTTCAAAATTGAAATTTTACTCTAAATAGGACTCCCTATTATGGCTGCGTAAGATGTCCTACCAGCAAAATATTCACGAGTAGGTCTCCTCCCTCGTAATACTAACTAATCCTTGCCAACATGAACTTAAGTCAGGGATTAAAGGTACCTAACTCCTTCCTTCATAGTCAACATAAACTTAAGTAAGAGTTAAAGACACCAAACTCCTTCCTTCATAGTCGAAGGTTTGATCTCCCAACTAATCCTTAATGAATGAAACAATAACAAATGGAGAGAGAGAAGTCGTTACTCTAAACCAATAAATTTTATCAAGAAGTTCAGTTTCTAGTGCTCATCAACTCATTATTAAAAAAGAAACTCGCCCAATGAATTACCTTCAATTACTCAGTGTTGCTTGGAATAGTGACTATTCCAAACAACAAAGGAAAAATGTGAGAGAGTACAGGATGAATTGCATTGTTGTAGAGACTTTCTGAAACTTTGAATCAAACATCTATTGAACCCAATTGCCCAAACTCTTGTAGGCATATCCCATATTATCTGCTTCATTTGCCAATCTTTGAATATACAAGCTCCATTGTTTGTCTATCAACATCAGAGAGAACCCAAGAAGAGCCTTATACACGGATCAAATCTGAAATATTTCCACCATTCCAGAGCTTTATGGATCTACCCTGAATAACAGTATTTGAAAGCACAAGTAGAACCTTGGCTTTTGTGGGGAATGGAAATTCTATATTTGAATTTGAACTGTGGCTAACCAGTAACCATCATTGCTTTTTTATCAGCCTTCCCTCTTACGTTTCCCAGTCCGCTTTGTGCTATCCCCTTCACTAGGCGAGTCGGCATATTTTTCGGTCCAACTTTTATGCACCATAGTTTTCACATTATTAAATAACTTGCGATCCTCGCGATCCATCCCGTTTGTGGAGATTGAGTTTACTATCTTCACAACTTCATGCATAGCCTTGATTGTTTGCCTAAATCTAGACTCCCATGACTCGGCCCGTCCAACAAATTTCCGAGTGATCTTTTCGTACCATTGCAGATATTCACTTTCACCTACACTATCAATGCTGTTCTCAATAAGTTCATACCGGTCTGACCATTCTTTGAGCTCTGATGGTAATTCCTCCTTGTTATCCATTAAAGAAACTTTCCGCTTCCAATCCTCGACGTCCTTTGGAATAGGTTGAGGCAGGCCGAACTGTCTCAAACATCGGTCTGGAAGATGTCTCTCAGCCTTATCGAAACAAATTAGCATCGTTCTTGATGCACGCAAGACCAAACTATTCTTGATATCTTCTGGTACAACAGAAAAGTCCATGTCCTTGTAGGGAAGCCATTGTACCTGTACATCAAATGCACAAAAAAGTCATGCAATCTTCAAGTTTATGCAAGGGGAAAACATAAAAAGTCGTACAGGCAACTCACATCAGAGGGATGAAGGGAATCCAGGGCCTTACGATATGTGGGCAAATTTATTCCCATTCTGGAACCACTTCTATTTTCTGTCCATTTAAGTAGAAATGGGAAACAATTCTCTGGCTCCTTTTTTAATTTGGGTCGGCCAATATTCAAGTGATAATAACTCCAACACTGTTATGTAGGTGAGGAAAAAAATCCAGACAGGATGTCAGCATTTACAGAGATGCTATATTATCTTAGTTGCATTGAACTCTAAGTTACCGACATTCTCCAATACTAAAAGAAAAGAGAGACGAGCTTACATGCCTGCAGTAATGTTAGCGAACCACTGATCGTGCGCTGAGATTTAAGAGAAGCATTGCCTAGAGCTCGATACAAGAAAGCCAAAGCTGCAGCACCCCAAGCATACTTTCCAGCTTCATCAAAATCCTTGAATAATGAAAGGTACATGACACTAACTTTGTTCCCACTCGTCGAGGCAAATACGGTACTGCCTAACAGGTATAAGAGGTAGGCACGAGTAGAATACTCTATTTGTTCAATCGCTGCATCTTCGGGACATTCAGAGAAAACCTCCTTCAACCATGTTAGCTTCACAGCACCCTTGAAATCTGTTGGTGCTTTCCCCAGTAAGTTTTCACATAGCGACTTGGGGTCAACATCCACATCTGTAACAGGTTTTCCGTCGATTGATAGTCCAAGTAAAAGGGCAACATCTTCGAGTGTTATGGTCATTTCTCCAACAGAAAAATGGAAGGTATTCGTTTCCTTTCTCCATCTCTCTACTAGTGCTGAGATGAGTGCACAGTCAAGGGTTACTGCTGGCATCAATCTCAAGTACCCAAATCCAGCCTTTCCAACCAGCTCAATCTGTTTTCCTGTAAGTTTCCATCTTTCAAGAATGGAAGTATGCTCTAGACATCTAAGTACACCTCTTTCCTGCAAGTATTTTTCAGTATACAACAGTCAGACTGTACTTGACACAAACAAATGAACCAAACAAAGCAAGAGCCAACGTCTCATCGGTATATTTACTGGGTAATAAAATGGATACGATATCACTGACCAAACCTCCAAGAAGACTAAAATCCATTACCTTTCCATCCCAAATGTCTGATGATATGTGATTATCTTGCTCTTTGAGAATCAAGGGATCATCTGGTCCAGGAGTTGCACTGGAGTCCATTCTCTTAGTTAAAGATTGCAAAAAAATAAGTTATACCAAATTTAAGCTTCGGCCGTAAAAGAAAACCTCACATAGTCATCAGCCAATGCAAAGCAAGATCATTCCACAGATTGATCGCCTGTAATTCAAAGAAAATAACCTTAGTTCAGAAAAGTTCTTGAGGTTGGACTTTCAAATTCTTCAACCGGCTGAAGCATTCAGGGTTAAGTTCCAAAACAAGGAGATTAAGTTTAGTTGATACAATCCCAATTTGGGTACACGGCCAAAGTTCCAAACGACAATCCATTGTGCCTCTCTCTACAAGTATAATCAAGAAGTACAAACATGATGTGGCAAGTGGATTCAAACACTTCAAAATCAACAATTAAAATATGCAAACACCTAATTCTCAATTGTCCCATATTGATATTATGAGATTGTGACAAATTTTTTTTTCCGTCCAAACAATACAGCTCAATGGGGAGTAAAGACTATTGAGTAAACTCGTATAAAGCACCTTTTTGGCCACCCAAAGATCTAATTATACAGAAATCAGAACAACGAATTTCCCTGTATTTTCGAGGCCGTTCAAACGACGGCAAATTAATCCGAAAAGTAAAACAAAAATAAATGGAACGCTATATAAATTGTAAACCAATTCAAGCTACCAGAAACATCTCGCCGGAGAAAGAAACCAATATGGCTCACAGATTCCGATATAACATGGGGAAACCACAAATTACAGCAAAAGCAAAGCTGGAGGATGAAGAGACAATGTAAGACTTACGGAAGAGCTGGAGAGTGATGGCGTTGAGAAATTTGAGGGGCTTCTGCCCTAATTGTTTGTTGTTCTCTATTTCAGCTTTGGTTCTGTGGTTCTTTCATCTTTGATGGCAATGGCAGTGTGGACTGTGCACCATGAAAACAGTCCAAAATTAGGCGATGAACCGACGTCGTTTTGATAGCTGTACTGTTTCGTATTTGTATTGGACTCTTTTTTTAATGTTATTATTATTATTTTTCTCTGATACGTACTTGAAATTTGGTTACTTATTTTAGTTGTCATAATTAGTTTGAAAGTTTTGATCTTACGAAATTTAAAATTTAAACTAATAGTCCTTGGGAAAAAAAATATCAATATGAATTAGTTTTGTTATTATTAAACTTTCAATTTTATATCCTCGCTAATTTTAATTAAAATAATAACATAAAGAAGAAGACCCACCTTGAGAAAATAAAGTAAGGTGGGAAGTTAAATTTTCTCAAAATTCACAAATTATTTATATTTATATATAAATTAATTTTGGTGTCATATTTATCTGAAATTATAATTTTGTACTAAATCTCTATTTGTAATAATTAAAAGCACTTGATAATTTATCAACCACGATAGCTTATGATAAGGTAAAAATTCTAATACTTGTTCAATAACATTTGTCGAAGCCTATATGTTATTGAAGGTGTGGAATTACGAGTATATTTATAGAAGAATGAAATACTCCGTAATAAAATTACGATACTAATCGGACATGACGTCTGACTGACATATCTTATCTCTTTGAAATCTACTTTTTAAAAAAATAATGATAAAATAAGACCGACGAGATAGAAAATGACTCGACCATTGAGCTAAGCTCGCGCTTGAAATTAGTGATTTTTTACACTGCCTCCGGTTAAAATGAGTGATTGAATTAGGCTTTATTCCCATAAAATTGTTAATTAGGGTAATAGACAAAATTCTCCCTTCCGACCCAGCGCCCGGTTTTTGAGAGCTGACAGACGGTTCAAACACTGAGCTCGGCGTCCTCTTCTTCCTCCAATCCACAGGTAATTCTCAAACTCTGAGCTCCAAGAACTTTGTTATTCCATGTTTCATTAAATATTTCTGACACCACTTCAAAATCTCTATCAAATGGAACTCTCTGGATTTTTGGATTCTGGGAAAGCTAGGATTAAACTTTGGAACTTCTTCTCCTGGTTTATTGCGTTGATGATAAGATGAGATTCTGTTTCTGAAATGCTTCAATTAGGCTAATATTTTTACTTTTGTAGTTACTGATAGAATAGAAGTGAGATTACATAGAAGTAGCTCACCGTCTTACTGGGGGGACTTCTTTGCGTGGTTGTTTAATGGAGTAAAATTGGTGCCACGGGAGTGGAACTAGAGAAGCCAGTTTCTCCATTAATTTATTATCAGGTGGGTTGTCCTGTTTTCGTAAACTGCATGTAATATTTACGGTGTCTGATGCTTCTTACTTAGTTGGCTCATTCATTCATTGTGCGCATGAGTTTCAGAAAGGGCGCCTAGGGTTCTATTTGCAGCGAGGGCTCCTTGTGAAATTTTGTATAATTTATTTATTTGAAAATAAATTGTGTAATATCCCATATCTTAAAACAATCTATTTAAGAAAGTTACATTTTGTTGAACTTTCATGGTATTATATTTTTCCATATATAAAGAATTTATATTGTGTGTTTGATAAGAAAGGTTTCTCTTATTTTTCTTTATCTTATTTTCGGCTTAAGTCTCTGAGAAGAGAACTATCACGTTTCAGTGCATTTCACATTTTAAAGAACATGGTGTATTTTATTTATTTTTAATTCTTTAGCAATTTCCAGAGCAGGATTCATGCTACATAGTTCATAATCAATATTGTTGTACAGAATCAGATAGATCCCATGGATGCGGCAGTTGCAGATGTCAGAAATTTTGTTGTGGGAGATACTGATGGTGCAGAAGTGGATGGCTTTCGGCATCAAGTTGATGAGATTTTTCTGACGGTTGACAAGGTAGAACACTGTGATATATTGATAACCTCATTGCTTTGCACTTTTTTCCTTTTTGCTAGTTCTATTTCGCTTTTTTTCTTTTTGTTGGAGCGTATAGTTGGCTTGGCAGACCTAGTATTCTCTGGCTGGGTGAGGGTGAGGTGACCTAATTATGAAGTATTACCGTTTGCTATCCATTATGTACTTAAAAATAGCTAAAATCAGGGGGAAATACTAAGTACTTATATATAATTGTCTTCTTGTTTGAAATGCAACAATTTAGTCTTTGCAGTGGATATGGTTTTAAGTAGTCTGTCAAGCCTGTTTATTCTTAATAATTGGAATGAAAACATGAAACAACGTTTTAAGAGATGGTTTGGCAACCTATGCAATCTGACATGTATTGCAACTGAAGCCATTGGGACAACTAAGTGGATGAAAACTACTGTTTATCATGGCAGTAAAATTAACCACATATGAGTGGATATCATCTCTTAATTTTGTCATCTCATATCTTTATCAAATTATTAAGGTGGGGGCTCACTAGTTCTTTGGAAGGTGGGGGATCACTCATCCCCTGGCCTTTAGCTGTTCTTTTAAATCAATACAGTTCTTCGTTTCCTAAATAAAAAACAACGACAACAACAACAAAATAACTTGAGAGACCATCTAAAAATTAAAATATTGTTCCCGTCAAACTGTTAGTTTGTTAAACTTGATCCCCTTAAATCTTATCTTTGCAGCTTGAGCAAAGAGTGAATGAGATAGAACAGTTCTATTTGACATTGAAAAAAAAGCAGCCAAGTGGTAGTAAAGGTAGCTCTATTGTAAAAGACAAAGATAAGGACAGACATGTTCCAAGTCTTAAGAAGCAGCAACAAGATGCATCTCGTAGAGAAGCTGCAGCTGCAAAGAGAATGCAAGAGCTCATGCGGCAGTTTGGGACAATACTGCGTCAGGTTACCAACTCGCTGGCTTTTTGTTCTATTATATTGCTAATCGTCTGTGTTATTTTCCCTCTGCATGTCATCCTATTATTGGTGCCTTGCTGATATTGAACTTTCCCAGTTGCTTCTTAGTTCACACGTACACAACACATTATTCACACAGGGGATTGACTTATTACTGGACAAACATGTCATTGCAAGAAATTTAGTGATCCAAGACTAATTTCTTTAGCAGCATAAACAATTAAACATGTCTCTGGCTCTTGTATGCATTCTGAATTAAGCAACATTGTTTATCTTTTACCAAACTTCAATGACATATTTTTACCTCCTCCTTCCTTGGAGTGGAGTTATTGATAAAAATGTAAAGCTACAGCTCCCACATCTGGACATATGGTCTTGGTTGAGTGCATAATATTTTTTTTCGTGTCTTTTCATGAGGCTAATATATTGTTATATTCTGCATCGACTTTCAGATCACGCAACATAAGTGGGCCTGGCCTTTTATGCAGCCAGTGGATGTGGAAGGTCTTGGATTACACGACTACTATGAGGTAAGGTCTATATCTCTATCAAATATACATGAATATTGAATGCTGTACATATTACATTTTCAGCTATCTTATGCCTTGAATCTTGAATGTATATGTTGCTTTTTAATTGATATATTAGATGCATTTGATACAAGACTTGCAATCAGGCATTTTGATTTACATCACCAATGTTTTTGGCTGGAGTCCCCAATCTTTGAAAATGGAACGCGTTTATGGGCCCAATTTCTAGTTATTTTCTTAATACTTTTTATATGAATAAAAGGATTTTGTTTAGGTCTTGTTTACGTATGTGAATAGGGCAATGAATCCTTGATTATTTTCATACTATGGATCATTCCTGTTGGAAAGACAAATGTGATCCCCTTACCATTGCAACACCCCCCCACTTTTGCTGTACATACCACAATGGTAATTGGGTCTTCAAGAGGGAAAACTGTGATTACATTAGCTCTGAGCATTTTCCATCATCTCCTTGGTATGCACTCAGGTTTTATAATCATTCAGGTAACATATGTACTGCATTTATTAGGTTATTGACAAGCCAATGGACTTCAGTACAATTAAAAATCAGATGGAGGCTAAGGATAGTATTGGATATAAGAATGTGAGAGAGATATGTGCCGATGTGAGATTAGTCTTCAAGAATGCAATGAAATATAATGATGAGAGAAGCGATGTTCACGTTATGGCGAAGACTTTGCTCGCGAAGTTTGAGGAGAAATGGCTTCAACTTCTGCCTAAAGTCACCGAAGAGGTAAATTGTTAACTTTGAGAACAGTTCTTGAACGGATGAAAATTCCTTAATCAATTCATGGTGCCTCAGAGTTCTGGATCTTCAGAAAGATGGTTTCATTTGGTTGAATGATATGCTAAAATATGGTTGAAGTTCTAAAAAGACTTCACCTTCCAGGAAAAGAGACGAGAAGATGAGGAAGCAGAAGCGCTGTTGGATATGCAACTCGCTCAGGAGGCTGCTCAAGCAAAAATGGCTAGGGACATAAGTAATGAGGTTTGCTGTCCACCTTGTTCCAAGGATCTAGCTATCTTGGGAAAGTTTGTCTGGAGATGGCCTACTTCCTTTTGCTCTTCCTATTACCTTATATCGGAAATACAATAAACTGTTTAAACATGGACACTGAACTGTTTACAGATTTATGAGGTAGATATGCAACTGGAAGAGCTCCGAGAAATGGTCGTGCAAAACTGCAGGTCCATTCTCAACTCTGGCTTTCGATGTTGTATTTTGGTTCTGTCAATTGATATAAATGGATGATTGTATTATTATTGAAGACTAATCTATATGTTCTAATATGCGTTTTTTAAGTCATTTATAATACGAACCGAATGAAAGTACACACCTTGAAAAACTTAAAATCCATATAAATAAGAGCCAAACTTATTTTCTTTTTAATTTTAGATACACAAATAAAAGCACTGGCATTCCAAATACAATGTAGAGTGTTGTATGTCCCAAATAAAACCTTACCATTAGTATGCCGGTGGAGGCTTGGTAATTAAAATTTATGGGTAGTTTAGGTCTGGTAATGGTCGGTCGATGTGCTTGTGACATCAGAAAATGACTTGCACTCCATAGACAGAGTGGACTAATTCTACAATTATGTGGTTTAGAAAAATATCAACTGAAGAAAAGAGAAAGCTTGGAGTAGCCCTCACCAAATTGTCTCCAGAAGATCTCAGCAAAGCATTAGAGATTGTAGCTGAAAATAACCCAAGTTTTCAGGCTACTGCCGAGGAAGTGGATCTCGATATCGATGCTCAGGTTGCAATTTATATATTATCACAAAGAACTATATCCTTCCCCGCCCCCACCCCCACCCCCAATGTGACATAGTGATTAATTGAGTTTATTGCTGCATCATGTAGAGTGAATCTACGTTATGGAGGTTAAAGTTTTTTGTTAAAGATGCCCTTGAAGTTCAAGCTAAGAGCTCGGCAAGCACGGGCGGTGGCAACAACCATAACCATACAAGCAGCAATAATATCAACGGTAACAACAAAAGAAAAAAGGAGATTTGTGATGCTATAGCCAGAACAGCCAAGAAAAAAGCCAAAAAGGCCTCTTCTTGAGATGCAGTGGATATGGAAGAGACCATAGTTTCACCCTTTTTGTAGCTGAAGCATCACAAGATTTTGTCCTTATTTCTGCACATACTTAGATCTTGGATCTTAGTTGCCTTTAGTTGCTGCTTGTTTCTGTAACGCGTTATAAACGGTATTTCGGAAGAGATCGGTGTCTATGTGAAGAATTATTATTAACAAGCTAACCTATGAATATCGTTTTTTTTCTCTCCTCCTGTAGTTATAATGTATGGTCTGTTGCGGGTCGAAAGGCAATCTTGTTGACTTGCTAAATTGTCGAATAATTGTTACTTCAAGCAGGAACTTTCTGAAGACTGAAGATCAAATATCAAATTGATGATAATATGTCTGTAATCCGAAACCAAATGTCACTAAAACCACACCCCTGCAGAGCACAGCCGTATGATGAGACCCAGACGTGTGTTTTGGTGTAGCAGAGACGGGAGGAAAGAGGAAAGAGATCACATATGGGCAAAAACTTACAATAGTTTTGAACCTTTTTTTTCTTTTTTTTTAATCTTTTTTTGTATGGATTTTTAACCATCTCGATTTTTTAGATGTGTCGTATTTACTTGAGTTATACTTTGATTGATGAAGTCATATATTAAAAAAAAATCATGAAGTTATTTTTTAGCACAACAAATTGGGGTACGAGGCTTCGAAATTCCAATCTCGATAAGTTGGCTTACAAGTTAAAAATAATACATAGATTAAAATTTTTAAGGTTTAAAAGCAAAACTTGAAAATTTGAACAAATATACAAAAAAAAACCTTCTCGAATTGGGAAAAAAATAATAAAGAAAGAAATCGAGAGAAGATTATGTTTTTATTTACATTCACGAAATTATGTTTTTTTTTTATTATTATTTGTTGAGTTAACAAAAAGTGGGGTGTGTTCAAGATTTTAAATGTTGATGTATTTTTTTTTTGTAAATATAAATGTTGATGTCTGTTATCGATAAAATATCAACGTCAATAGATATTTAGGTAAGAGTTAGAGAAATTAAACATTTTTCTACTCCTAAAAAAGTTAGAGATAATTAGTATTAATAATATATATTAATGATATTTTTAATATTTTGTCGATTTTTTTTTTACTAGGATGGAAATGTTGATTTACTTCTTGTCAACCCATAAATACATGTACAAATCGATAGCAAAGTTGATATGTCCACGGATATCTAATACCATGAGTGATTTATCTTCGAATTAGGGAAAAAAAAGGAATGTTTTACTTTAACACGAGCAATTATTATTATTTAAGAAACTTTTATAAATAAACAATTTCGGTAATTAAAAATGGGGAAAAACTAAAAGAAAATAGTCAATCGTCATTCGTCAGACACTATTGAAATCGGTTCGGGGCAGCTTCACTGACTGGACTGAGTCACTGAACCGACACCGTAGATCGCTCCGCCGGTGCCAATTTCACCACCCTGAAAACGACCTGGTAATTCTCTCATTTTCTTCCTCTTTTCTTCTTCTGCTTTTCGAGCGTCTGAATTCCAGTGAAGCTGCGTGGATTCGGTTTTGCAAGATTTGGATTGCTTTTGCGTTTTGCCGTTTGATTACTCGGAGAATGTAGGAAACCGCACATGGCGGATAGTTCTAGAAAGGAAATGGCTCCTTTTAGGGAACTCTTGTGTTTTGCGAGCGTTTTTAGGATGTAAACGCCGTGCAATCCTGTAAGTTTTCGGCATACCATTTCTCAGCCAGAATTTGAAAATTGAGCTGAAGTTTTCTTGCTTGTTTCTGCAATCTAAGGTTTTGGTTGACTCTTTGACATGATTCAGCCAACATATTGCATTCGCCATTTGCTTCCTTCCTGGAGAGGTTTGTTTAGCCAAGGCCTCCTTTTAGTTGTTTAGCTTTATCAGTGGAGGTCGGATTAAATAATAGGAAGGTTTATTTAATTGTTCATAGCAGTTGCGGTGTTAAGAAAATGCTAAAATAAGAGGAGCTTAGGCCTCTTATTGTTCTGAGACAGAAGATCATCCAGCACAAGATGATGATGAACGGCATTTTGAATATCTGACATTTCAAAGTTGTAATATCAGTATAATGCCCTTACCAAAAATTGTGTAGTGGTTTCAATATAACGGGGAAATATCTAGACCGGTTGTTTAGATAAGGTTCCGTTATTCTCAGGCAGATACATCTTAAAAGTAAGAGTTTAGAACCAAGTTCCTGATGTTTCTAGAGAAGTACAGTTAAAATGGTACCTGGTTTAAATCAAAATTGATAGCAATCTCTTGATTTAATTTTCAATTTTTACCAACAGTATGGTGATACTCCCATACTGTGCCGCCCAAAAATTCTTACCATGAATGTTGAAAATGTAGGTAATATGGAGAGCCCAGGTCCAAACCACCCTCCTGAAGTAGATTCGTTGTCAGATGGCTTTGTTGAGAGCTCTGCTGAAACTCAAACACCTTCGACTCAAATTTGTGAACAAGCAAAGCCATTAGATTGCAAAGACAAAACTCTACAAGAATCTGATTCTTCCAATGAGCAAAGCCGTGACATTGTGGAAGATTTTCAAACTGAGCAGGGCAATACAGAGAAGACTCAAAAGTTGGAAACTTTTCCTGTTGCTTTATCTGAAACAGAGAATTGTTGTACTTCGGAAAGTGTGGAAAAGGTGGCTGACAAGGGCTGTACGGAACAAGCAGAAACTGCCGTTCTTAATGTGGAAGAAACTTTTACCGAATCTTCAGTTGATGAGTCTGGATGCAGCATAAGAGGACAAGCTCAAGAGGAATCTCAAAGTTCAGAGAAGGGTTAGTTTATTTACCTTGCAGGGTGCCTTTTTTGTTCTTATTATTATTTATCTTAATCAGGATACCAATGAATTAACTGGGTACATGAGCTTCCTTTATTTCATCTAAAAGAATTTCATTCAAGGCATGCGTGGGATGCTAAAAATGGTTGGCAGGTTGGGGGAACAGGACGTCCATGCTAGTGAGACCAAAAGAGAAGTATAGATAACAGAAAATGTTTTTGATATGCAGCTATGCTGACATCGGGAATTGGGACAATAAAAATGAAAAGGATGCAAAAAGAGATTTTGTCCTTCATGTAGTATGAGTTGGTTATCAAGTTGCAAATGTTAGTAAATTTAGTTCTGATTTCCCAATGACATGGATCATCTACATTCATCCCCCCACAATATTTTTTTGTTAGTTTGAGTGACAAAAATAAGTGGAGTCTGTCGTTTCAAATACAAGAAACACAGACCCTGTAAAGTGTAATCTAATAACTAATGTGTTTAATTTTGTTTGTTGCAACTACTGTGGGTTCCCAGTCAAAGGAACAAGGTATAAATGTTGTGCTTGAGGTTATGAGTTAAAACTAAAGAAGTCACCTACCTAGAATTTCAAATGTCCTACAAGTTTTCTGATGCCAAATATAGTAGGATGAGGTGGTTATCTTGTGAGATTGTTTGAGATTAGCTCGGAGCTTCACAGTTTTGATGCATGTGTTTCTCAAATCTATTTATTAATATCTCCTATCACTTTGTTTCAGTCACTGATGGACATATAGAAGCATCAACGGCACATGAGAGGGAAATATCTTCGGCAGAGGTTGTTCAAACTGTGAAAAGCATAAAATTCGTAAGTAATTGCACATTGCATTGTTTAGTTACATTACAGTTTAGCATTGCTATATTTATTTTGATATTTTTTTCTGCATTTGTTAGCTTTCTGCTAGATCCAGGGAATTATTATGTCCTGGTCACTTTTTTTATCTGTACTATCAGAATTATGGACTTTATGTGTAATCCAAATTACTAGTAAATATTTCCAATTGTTAACTCTTCGAAATTCTCTAGAAATTTGTTCAAGTAAGGTCATAAATGTTACCTCTTGGACTTGTTGTCAGAGGTTGCCTTTTTTTACCCCTCTCTCTCTCTCTCTCTCTCTCTCTTTGTTTTTTTTTTTTTTTGTTTTTTTGCTGATTATTACATATGGAAACATATCTATCTCCCCTCTCCCATCCCCACCTATTTTATTTTGAGCATGTCTTTTCATGTTCATCTGTGAGGACATCCTGTCAATGGATTTACTTGGACGGCAATAAGAAAATATGGTCAATAATTTTATTTTATTAGTTCACAATGTCCTTTTTGTTTGATTTAATGTGGATCCCCTTTCCATTATACTATACTAGATAAGTTATTAACACTGCATTATAGCAATGAATGCTGCATTGAAAGTCTTGTTAAATTTTTAACTTGGGATAGAAGACGTAACTTCAATGAACTTTGGCATTGCAGTGATGTACTGCTGACTGAATTTGGTTGGAAGACATCTGTGTTTTTCTCCCCATGTCTTCAGCATTATATTTAAAGACTAACGTGCAATATGTTTCAGGAAAGTACTGAAGTCAAACGCAAGAATCCAAAGCGTACATTTAAGTCAGAAAAGGAGTTTCTTGAATTTACGTTAAAGTATCAGCAAGTTACTGCAGAAAGAGATGCAGGCAAGTAGAGATGTGAACAAAAATCCTGGAGAAGTTTCACTTTTTCAATTTTGTCTGATTTTCAAGTTCTTTAGGTTTATATTTCATTGTTCATATTTATTCCAGATGATGATGTATGTAGGCTATTCATTGTTCTGCAAAAGGTTGGTGTATAACAACAAATAAAACTCTTTACCGACAAGAGTAGTATGAAGTTAGAAGTACGAAATTTGTAGATTGCAATTAGATTGTTTTGATGTTTGTTGACCGTTTGAAAACATCAACAAGGGTTTCTCAATTTCAATGCAAATTCTAAGCTGAATGATCTTTCTTTCATGTTTTTCCTTTATTTTCTGCAGTTTGACTAAAGCATTCTGTTGGAAATGAAAATTTTGTTTCTTAGTCGACCTATGGGCTATGGATGGACTTCTTTATTTTCTTTGAGAATGTTCACCAGTTTGTTAACTCGTTGTAGTATTAGAATGTGAAGATAATCCACAATGCTGCAATATATATATATATTTTGATGCAGAAGAGTTATTTGTTCATGTTTGCAGATGTTATATTGCAGTATAAGAATTCTTATGTTCAATTGTTTGAAGATGGATCTAATAATTCTCTATTTTATTGTAATTATTTTTTGGTGAAAGATTTAGATATGCTGATAGCCTGATGATATTAGCTGCCATCTTTCTTTCTCTCTCTGCAAGAATTATTCTTCTGTCCTTGCATGTTGCATGTTTGAATTGGTTGCATTCTCAATAATGCTTAATTTTTTGAATTGCATGCTATGGACTTATAATGTCATCATCTTCTATGCATAGCTATTGTTGTTCGAGACAAGCTCGAGTCGCTATGCAGGGAGTTGCAACGTCAAAACAAAATGCTGATGGTATGATCTGCATATTTAATCCATATAAAAGTAAATTAGTTAAATTACACTTATAACCTCGGCTTTTTTTGTGATTTTTAACGTTTTGGTCACTGTACTTGTTTATTTCAATTTAGTTTTTGTACTTTTATGGACGTATATTTGGTCTCCAATGTTAATTATTAGTTTATTCAGTTAAATAGTTATGAAAAGTTAATATGGCACTATGTGGAAGTTGATGGTACTTTGATGTATCATATAGTTGCTATATACATAAATTGAGGTTATTCAGTTGAAGTGTAAGGTATTACCAGGCATGTATGTGGGAGTATGCTTGTTGCATGCGTTGCTTTTAGCGGCCAACAGGCAATAGGAAACAGAACAGTATTTCGTTGTTTACTCATGTTTTCTTTGATGTTATCTCAGTTGATTGTTATTAAGTTGTAGAAGAAAGAAATGAAAATACGATATCAAAAAAGATACTTCCGAATAGTTTTTAAATTAAACATAAAATTAACAATTTTAAAAGATTAATCTGCATAGCAGTTTTAATAAACAAAATTGGAATATACACCCAAACAGCGCCTGGATCTCTCTGCTTTTTGCTCTCTCCAATTTTCTCTGAATTTCTATCATATTCCTATTTTTCTTCTCCCTAATTTTTCGGTTTACATCTCTATGATTACTTTTCTCTAGTTCAGTTACCTTCTAATAAATAATAATAACTATGAAAATGGAACAGGATGAATGCAAACGGGTCTCAACTGAGGGACAAAGCCTGAGAACAGAATTATCAGTTAGGTTTCAAGATGCAATCAAGGTATGAGTAACTTGATTAGCAACTCTGTAAAATAATTGAAGATCTAATGGGTTCTTAAATTATATTTCCTCCCGTAGGGGAGAATTGTCTGATGAATTCGTGGCAACAATTGCAAGTCCTGATTTTCTAAATGTGTAAATAATCCTAAATGTAACTCGTCGCATATAGTGCACAGACTCTTTGCATTGGTTACTATTTTTTCTCGTCCATAAGAATTTCAAAAATTTGTGAAAAGATTGACATGTTTGTGTAGTATGGTATTCGTCGAATATCTTGAGAACTGTCTCTTTGATTTATTTTGATATTAGTTTTTGTTACTAATTGTTTATACATTAACCAGCCCTCCTATTTATTATTAGAAGGCAGGCTTCAATATGGGAAGATTTCTTAATATAAAATAAAATAGAACAAAAATCCTAAACTTAAAATTATTTTTGTGCTCCATGTGTATCTGTTTCTCGAATTTCTAGAGGTTCAAGTGTAAGTATCAAGTTAAGATTATTGGGATGAGTAGAGGTTTATCAGCATTACGGAGATTTGGAAGGAGAGGAACAAATTAATATCTGGAGGCAAATGAGTGATAAACTGATAATAGTATTGAGGTTATTTGGGATAGCATGCCTTGTTTCCTAATTTAAGGTTGGACCTGCTGTTTGCCTTTTATTCTTTACAATTAATCTATTGGTAGAACTGATGGAATTTCTTATCAAAAAGAATAATAATGACAAAACAAAATTGAAGTGTGCACGTAAGTTGATATTGATGAAACTTGACAGGTCATTCTAAATTAGGGTTGAGCGAATCGTGACTTCTCTTTCTCTGCTTGTTATTATTTATTGTCATATTCCTCGCGGATATTAAATTTCTAAGCATTCCTTCACCAGGATGTTAGCAATAAGCTAGAAGAGCAAAAGGATGAATGCCTCGCACAGCTGAAAGAGAATGAGACGTAAGATGAAGTACATTGTTAAGAATGTATTTTATGCTGAAATAGTCAAAATAATTGTGTCATTTTGTTTCTTTTTATTCTGTTTTGCTTCTTACTTGCATGAAGGATAACCTAGAATAAAGTGTACACAGGCATAATCTACTATTACAGTATGTGTCATGTTACCATTAGCTTAAAGTAAAATTGGTGTTCTATGTTCTCTTTCCATATTGGCAGAAAGTAGCACTCCCTTGATACTTTTTTCTTGTTCTGGATAAGGAGTCACTACACTCCCATAATACTGAGAAGTATATGATAATTGTTGTTGTAAAGGTGTCTAATTGGGGCATGTTCTATACTTTTATAAAATTATAAATATTAATAGAGAAAAAAGATGTAGAAAAGTTTGACAGCAAATTGATTTATTCTCTTAGAGAAAAGAACCAGGTATACAATGACGGACTTTCAAGGATTTCTTTGAGGGCCAGTAGACTCCCATATTTGCATCTCAACCATATTTGAGCGATGCCCAAACTTGCGAACAATGATCTTGTGCCACAATGGCTCAGGTTGTAGTGAGAACTGTCAGAACCATATGGTCAGACAAGAAGCATTCTTGTAGTCCTTTTGATGCGAAATATCTCCTCCCTTGGCTTCCATTTTTACGTTCTTTCATCCTTATCATCGGACCTCCCTTTGTAGTTATCTTTGAGCATCTAGTATAATATAGTTTCTGAAGAAAACAATATCTATATTTTAGATTCTTCTATTCAAAAAATTATTTTAGTAATTAAGAATGACTTGAATTGTTAAATATGACGTTTCTTTCTCTTGGTTTTCCATAATTTTTACATATGATGTTCAGCTTAAGGAATAAACTGAAGCAGCTTATCGATCAGTTTGCTCTTTCCGAACAACAATTTTCTAAGAAGGTAAAGTTTACACTTCTGCTGCTGAAGTCAGTACGCCTTGGATGATTATTTATTTATTTTGTGGGGCTGAATTGATTCAAGATGCTTTGTACATGAAAACACAGTTGAAGCAGAAAACACTAGAACTTCAGATTGCTGATCTGAAAACTAAGCAATGTGAGGAGAAATTGAACCAGGAACAATCCCAAATTAAATCATATGCAGAGCAAATTTCACAATTATTGTCAACAGAAAAGAATCTGCGTTTACAACTAACAGCTGATGGAGAAAAATTCCAACAATTCCAAGTAGGGCTTGAGTTTGGTGGTAGTCTTTTAAATTTATTTAGAAACACATTTCATGTGCGCCTCAGAATTTTTGTGGCAACTTGAGGAGATTATCTTGCATGTTTTATATCATTTATGGAATGGTCTACCAAGTTGGCCTAATCTTAGTTTGTGTCTTGATTAATGTTACAGGACGCATTATTAAAAAGCAACGAGGTATTTGAAACCTTCAAACAAGAAATTGATAAGGTAAGCTCTACTCTTTCTTCTTTTTAAGATTTCATTTCACGGCACAGTTCTCGAAATGCTTTCTGTGTTGCTGCATTGCATGATACACTTTGATTAAACTGATATTCTACTTTGTGTTCTTGTCCCCTCAAAAAATTTTAAAAATTTATGTAGATGACGAAATCAATCAAGGAACTGAAGAAGGAAAATTCATTCTTGAAGAGCAAATGTGAGAAATCAGATGTTACTCTTATTGAGCTTCTTGATGAGGTAAACTTGCACCTACTACAATTTTACTATACATTTCTTTGGCAACATCAAACTGTAATGTCTTCTTTGGAAAATAGTTCTTTATTTTTATTGTCAAAAATATTTTAAAGAATTGTGGTGCAACCAAACTCTAGGAATCCTATTTCTTCATCATATCCTCATTCTTTTTTCTGCTTTTAAGTCATGCAAACATACTCATACCACTAAATGCATGTGCCCTATTGAGTGGGCATGTTACCATTTATGGAAACTGCATGCTGCTATCTTATTTCTTCCCACTATAAATCACTTGTGTCGACTTAAACTTAGCTCAAAGATTAAGGCAGGAGTAACATTCTTCGGTTAGAAGTTCCAATCCCCAGCTCCACCACTTGGTTGAACTAACAAAATTGTCATTTGTAATTGACTTTCACGGTTCATTAGTCGAATAATGTGCTTCATCTAACTGCCAGCAGACCAAGTCGGATTTATGCAAACTGAATCACTGCGTAGGCTAGAGTTCTCCTGTCCTGAGTTTTAAATGTATAATAAAGTTTTAACGGTCTTTACATTACCATGGCTTTTGAGTAACTTCTGGTTGAGCAGCGAGAACGCTTGAAGAAACAGCTGGAGAAAACAAAGAATCAGAAAGAAAAGCTCGAATCCTTGTGCCGATCGCTTCAGGCAGAAAGGAAACAAAGTTCCATGGGCATGGGAAGCAACAGCTCAGATTCAGCTTCAGTGTGAATTCTAATTCATTCTGTTAAATATGAAATGCTTGGGAGGATTTCAATACACTAACAACTCTTATAATGCAATAGGATTGTCTTCAAGCTGTGGAAATATTTATATTTTGATCTTAAGATTTCCATATCAATTGCTGCCAGCTTTTCTAGGATTGAAATTTATTTTTGTTATAGGAAAGAAAAAAAAACTTGGTTCCTATGAACAGAGTTATGAACCTATATTGAGTTGAAGCAGAGGAAAGGAAGTTGAAAGTAACAGTTATGAGAATGTCTTAACACTGTTACATTTGTAAATTGTAGTTTGAAGTTTGATATGTTGAGCTCCTCTCTCTCTCTCTCTCTCCATATTTTTTATTATTTTTTTTAGTACATGTGGTGGGTGAGATCATAAATTTGATATTTTAAAATTAGGGTTCACTTAGCGTACTCGATCCTTGTTTCTCGTTTTTAGTTTTTTAGAAAAATAAGTATTTGTTTACCATTCATATTTCTCACTTTTTATTTTTAAGAAATATTTCAAAAATTGTCTAGACAATCACAATTTGAAAACAACATAATCAAGTTTCTCATTTTTTTTCAAAATATAAATAAAGCATTATTTTTATCATTTTTATTTAAATGCATAATAAAAATTAAAAGTTATATATATAATATAAAAATTAAATATAATTTTTAAAAAAATGTTTTTTATATAAAAAATTATTTTTTTATTTTAAACTTTTTTAATAAAGAATAAATAACGAGAAATAATTACCAAACGTTTTTTTTAATTACACATATAGGGATGGAAAATTCGAACTTAACCATTTCATTGTAGTTACCTTAACTGGTTGGCTTGTAATTTTATTTTTATTTATTAAAAAAAACAAGAGTAAAAAAATAGAAACGTTGCTACAGAAGGCTTGTAATTTGTTGTCTTTTTGGTTCCTAAATGGCGTCGAGTGGTTTTCTTTTTACTATTTAGTATCAAGATGAATGCCTTAAACAGAAATCCACTCTATATTTGTACCTAGTTTTAAAACTGCAAATTACCAAATTGTCCAATTAAAAACTTTATAATTTGGTATTACAAATTGGTCCTGCTTGGATTTTTTTTTTTACCAACTTGATAAAATGGTATCGATTTTCACCCTAAACTTTCAATTTCATCACATCAAAAACTTTAAAATTTAGATAGATGTTGTACTTCGTACTCTCTTACTCAATTTTTGATAATTCACTAACTAATTTTCACAAAAAGTAAAGTAAAAATGCTTAAAAAAAAAAACTCATAATTTAATGAATTTTTTTCAAAAAATAAGTTTGATTAATGCATTAAATTAACTATTAAATAACTACATCAAAACCTACACATTAAAATAAAAAGACGCTCTAATGTCATTTTTATTTGAATCATATCAATTTTGTTCTAAATATGTATTTTTATACTTCGTTATACACGTATGTGAGAATACCTTTTCAAACGTAATTAAAAACCAAAATATTGGTATTTTCAAACATAATTAAAAACGAAAAATATTGGGAGGTAAAAATTACCATACTTTTCAAGTTAAGGGTGGAGATCACGGCTTAAAGCGAAATTTAATTAAATTAAAAATTTATATAAAAGTCGATACACGTAGTCAAGTTCAAGATTGGAAATGATATTATGCAAATATATATATATATGAAAAACTATCTTAAGTGACTCATTGGTTAAAAGAAGTTAAAGTAAAATAAGAAGTTTAAACTTCACTATTGTCATCTACCTTAAAAATTAATTCTGTTTTCCGATACCAAATTCTAGGATCATGCAATCCAATCTAGACACTCACGAATAAAATAATAATAATAATAATATATATATATATACATATTATATATACACACATTATGTGTGTATATATATTGAAGTGGCCCCCTACAGAAGCCGGGCAACTTGCGGATTCGTCTGTATAATCCAAATCTTTGCGAGTTTCGACCCAGCCTGAGCCTGAGGTTGGTTACGGAAAATGCCTTTCTAACAAATACCGTTTGTTTCATTCCTTTTCAATTTTCCCACCTCCATAGACGCACCACCATTGCTCTCTTCTTCTTCTTCTTCGTCTTCATTCTTCGTCTTCTCCTCTCTCTCTCCACATTCTGCAATGGACGTCGACGACAAACCCATCGACCGTTGCAGTTCCAGAAAACTCCAAACCAATAACAACTCCGTCTCCGGAACCGGAACCGACTTCTTGGAGACCAACAAGGCCGACAGAGCAATGTGGCTCTTGAAATGCCCCCAGGCCGTTACTCGCGCCCTTTCTAATTCGCCGGATGGCCCTTCTCGTCCGGTCGCCAAGGTCATCGTCTCCGTCGACCCTCTGCAATCCAATGACGACGACGATTCTTCATCTACTGAGGTATACAATACACCTCCTGCTATGCGGTTTTGGATTTTCATTTATTGCATTGTATGATTTCTTGTTTTTCTCACTCGCTTCTGCATGCTTCCGGTCTTAGGTTGGCCTGTTCCTGTATTCTTCGATTCCCATTGTCGTTATCTTAGGGCTTTGTGTTTGTTTCTGTGCATGCATTCGTCGTTCTTGGAGTTTATGATCTGTTTCCATTGGAGTTATTGATTGATTACTCAGTCTACGACTCTACATTTTATCGTTTTGTTCTTTTCTTGTTTCACTGGTAACCGAGATTTGTAGTATTTGTTGGAAGTTTTAATGACGTGCAGTTAGCCTAAATTGCCTTTTCACGATTTGGTTCTCGTGATGCTTTTCTATGAAAAAGACCCTTCTGGTTTACATGCTTGGTTTCCTAACTAACTATCAAATTTATTTGGGTAGGACCGCGGTTTTCACAACACGGGAGATCTGGAATTTACGGAGATTGAAAAAAAAACAAAGTAATTTAATGGTAGTGTTTTATCACTATCCGCTTACTAAAGGATATGCACAAGGCTGTTGTTAGTTATCCCCATCTGTCTTCATATTCGGATTGAACGAATAACTGGGTCATAAAATTGATTTTTCATTAAAGAAAAAAAAATATGAGGGATGAAAACTGAAAGGAGTAATAACCAGTCTGGGTTGGTCTAGTAGTCAAAGGATAAGTTAAAAAAATAAAGTGGCTTTAGGGTTAAGGGTTCAAATCCACCTACCTCGGATGTTAAAGTTCCTATGAATTTTCTTACAATCAAATATTTTTGGGTCATGTGATTGTCTGGTGAAATCAGTCATTGTAAGTTGGCTTGGTTGCTGCCTTGATACTCACATGAGGAAAAAAAATGAAAGGGTTAACAATAGAGTGTTTACATTGTGAAGTGCTATATGTTCCCAAACTATGCAACTATTTAGAGTTTATTCAGAGCTTTGAAATAGTTTAAGAATTTCTTCCAATCATCTGAAAGGAAACAAATTGTGGTCCTCTCTGGTTTAGTACCACGTTAAATAAGATGCTCTGTGTAATAGTTATGACTTGTAAATGGTTTTAGTTTTAGTTAAGAATTACAAGACTGTTGGCCATGTGCAAGGAGGGTCAGAAACCTTGTAGTTGAAAAACGTATTTGTCATCATAAAGTGATTAATATAACCACAATATTGTGGTTGATTGTCAATTTGTAATACTAGGTGTATCATGTTAACGATCTTACTTTTGCTTCTTAATTAATTTCAACTACATTTTAGGCAAATTTCCAAGATAGTACATCGTCATTCTCCTGTTATAAACAATGGAGTTCTTTGTTCCTTTTTTACCCTACCAATATACACAATAATTGTGGGAATTTGAACGGGTGAACAAGTTGTGGAAACCAGAAAGATGCTGATAGAAAATTAAGTTGATGTTCAGAATCTTATGTCATAGAAGATGAAAAGATTTATCCATGAAGTGAGAACAGATCCATGTGTTGTCCAGAGCATAAAAATAATTTTTGACAATTTGATTAAATAAATATTAAGGTCTTCCCTGTATTTGGGATATTTGTATGACGTGAGATGAGTTTAAACATGAGCCTCTTAGCGTGTAATCTTCAAGCCAAAATTTTCACTGACAATTTCATCATACCAGAACTTTAGCCTTCCAATTCTGATGCTATCTCTTGCTATTCCAATTATCTCGTCTGGATCTTCTTAAGAATGTTTCCTCATAACTCTTGTATTCGTTTATTACTCTGAGTTTATGTTGCAAAATATGACTCATAAAAGTAGTTCGGGTTCAAATTCCATAGATAATGTGGATTCTTTTTTCATTGGAATTCCTGTGCGCCCCTCCTTGAATTATTTGGTCATGCTTATGTTTTTTCAATTTACTTACCTTCTCAACCATGTGTGTTTATTTTCTTTCTTACTTGCAAATGCAAGAAGCGTTATCATTCTCGTTGGGCCTTATATTTTTTCAAACTTGGCTACTTACATTGCATTATTTATAGTAAAAGGGCAAATTAAAGATTGATTATGTCAACATCCATTTGCTTGGTTTCCTCAGCTAACAATGGCTCTATGATTTTAGTTCACTATGGAATTGGCTGGCACTGATTCTGGAAATTCATTAAGGTCCTACTCATTGAATATGTCGACAGACTTCATTCCAATGTCGGTATTTTCCGAGTCACCACCAGGTTGGTTTATGTCACTCTAGCCTGCTCATTAAAAAATGACCCATGAATATGAAGCTGGGAAATGTTTACTTGTAAGCTGGATGAACTATTACTCTGATTGTGATTGTTATACGAGATCCACTTTATAGTTTATAGTATGCTTTCAACTGGTATCAACGTACAATTTTTACGTTGTCAATATTTTTTATTTATTTATTTATTTATTTTAGAACATTTACATTAGTTTGATCGTCAATAACACTTGGTTTGTTGCTGTTATCCCTTTCTTATAATCCTCTTTAATTCCTTCTCTGTTCAACATCTGTTGTGTTGAAACTCAGTCAGGTACCCAGTAATTTTCGTGAGTCTTTCATGAACTTGTTATATCTGAAAGTTGTCATGTCAATGTGGAGTACGACTATTTGATCACATACTGATGAAAACTAGAACATCTTATCAGTAAGAGTCTTGAGGAGATTCATATTTGCACACTAACATGGGTTTTTGTACTGAGGTTATCTAATGTTACTGGAGGGATTTTCCATTGGTTTAGTTATAGTAGAGAGCACTCTTTCTTTTTTTTGGGATTTTCGTGATTTTCCGAGCTAGCTTACGTGCACCTTGACTAATATCTTAGGACACGTCTGACCCTACTACATTTGGTTACTAAATAAACTCGTAGGATATTAGGTACTTGAACACCATAGTTTGAACTTGTTCTCTCTATCTATGCTATTTACATTGGCCTTTATTGACCATTAGGCCAACTCATGATGTTTACAGTAGAGAGTACTAGGTATTCGAAATCCACCGGCTTGATCTTAAAAATTTCTAATTACTTTCAGGACAGTGACAAACAGATAAAAGTGGTGTGTTCTGTGGGTGTACTAGAGAGATTTCAAGAGATATAGTGCAGCTAGAACTTCTTTTCTTCTTCCAACTCCTCAAACATTCTTTTAGATCATTACAGCAGCATATCTGGTTGATGGAATCAATTCTTTTTCCATTTTAGGGAAGTTTACAGTTGAGGGGAAAATACTGAACAAATTTGACATGAAGCCCCATGATCAAAATCTTGAGAGGTATGGGAAACTCTGTCGTGAAAGAACTCACAAGTCTATGACCAAAAGCAGACAGATTCAGGTCTGCTTTGTAACTTTCTATGCAGCATACTTGACCGTTTGGTTATTTTTTTTCTTTCTTGGTTCAAATTTCCAACTATTCCATACAGGTGATTGATCATGTCACAGGAGGACATATGAGGCCTATGCCAGGGATGGATGTGACGTCTTTTGGAGCTGCAGTAATTATACTACCTTCTTTTCTACATGCTTTGATGTATTCTATTATATTCATTCCTGCATATATCAAGTAAAATATCGATTTCTCTTGCTGTTTAGGTTTAAGCCAGTGCTATATTTATTTACCCTTGTAGTCGGTCAGAAGCTTGTCCAACTGATTTCAATAATTATCTTTTACTATTGTGAACATATGAGCTGCTAAACTTGGTTCAGGAGAAGAAGAAAGTGGTGAGCAAGGGATCGGAAACAAAGAGGTTGAGAAAGGAGCGTGGCGAATTGGAGAAGATTATTTTTAGGCTCTTTGAAAGACAACCATATTGGACGTCGAAACAATTGATTCAAGAGACTGACCAACCTGAAGTAAGATTTATCTTGAATTTGCACACATATTGAATACTAAGTTTGCACGTATAGTTAGTTTATCATCTGATGTTTCCATGTGGATCAGTTTCCAGAAGTTTATAGAGAAGTAAAACCATATCACTGCACAGGATACATACAAATATAGATAAATCTTAAAGTTAGGTGAATGTACAAGTTCTCGTTAAACAGAATGGCATTTTATCAATTAATGCAACTATGGTATTATGCACATTAGCTCTTAGGCTTGCGATTGGAGTTTTACGTGGTGATCGACATGACATTATCCTGAACTCTGAGAACAAATTGTACTTTCCTATTTTTCATTTTTAAAAAGGTCACACGTCTCTCTGACATCCACATCCTTTAGGGAAGGAGCAAATGAACTGCTCACTTGAAACACTGCAGTTCTAGTTGATGGCTCGATTCTGCTTGTTGGTTAGGCTACCACTTGGATTATAATCTTATTTGAATAGGGTTGTTCTATTGGTTGTAGCTCACGTTGATTGGTTTAAGACTGAAACAAATATTAAACAAAAATAATGTGGTCATGGTTTGATTACTATTTTGTTTTTATTTTTTCTATTTTGTGTAGTAGCTTATAAACACTGCACCTCTCCATGTTTTTTTTTACTTTTTTTTATCTACTTTTTAAAAACGTTTTCAAAATCTAAGCCAAGATTTAAAGTAATTTTTAAAAACTTTCTTTTTATTTTTATTTTTTTAATTTTTAAATTTGGTTAAGAATTCAAATGTACTTGTAAGAATCGTGAATAACGTACTAAAGAAATTGAGAGAAAATACACCTAACTTCTGAAACAGAAAACTCGAGACAAAATCATTATCAAACATGGTCGTCTCTTTATGTTTTCTGTGAATATGCTGCTGTTATGTCCAGAGTCTGTTGTAAAAATGCTTCCTTCTTGCAGCAATATATGAAAGAAATACTTAAAGACCTTTGTGTCTACAACAACAAAGGTGTTCACCAAGGAACATATGAGCTGAAGCCAGAATACAAGGAGTCGGGTGATGAAACGAAATCGCGGTAGGTTTGTTCCAAGTACTGGGAAATGACTATGGTACTGGCTAACCATTTAGTGCAAGGTGTGTCTGTGAAGGGAGAGGGCTCCTTTCTTTGCTTTTTAGTCTAGGCTTTGGATTTCCTCATTGTGCATCATCATCTCCAATTTCTCGACTCACTAGTAACCACTGAAATTTTGTAGAAATGTGGAACCGTCATCGGTTTCCTTGCAACTGTATATTGTACATAGTGATCACGGTTGGTTGCTTGTGATCATATATCTGCTGTTCTGCTGTTACAAGTTCTTTTGTAATTTGTAAGTATTGATTGGATATGGCCTGAATTAAGGTTCTGTTGTTTGCAGGCTCTTGTATGCATTTCCTATCATATTTTATTTATACTGTCTTATTACTCTTTGGAGTGCCTTTTTTTTCTTTTCTTATTCATCTTCCTTCCTTCCTTTCTTTCTTCCTTTCTTTCAATTTTAGGGTGCAAGTTCCCTTCTTATAAGGCGGGGAGAGTGAGGTTTGACATTACATTTTTATTTTTTCAAAAAATTTGATAAGGTGTGAAATGAGTCGATTGAATGATATCAACATCATCTGTATCGATAAGGTCTAAATAGATAGTTAACTAAGGAAACCAATTAATTTTGCGTTTTTTTTAGTATTATAAATGTGGGACGAAAATTTAAACCTCTAACATCAAGAAAATGAATATATACTTTTTAACTATTGGGCTGATCTTGAGGCAATGTCGAAATATATAATAATGTTGTTAATATTCAAAATCATAAAAGTATGAATTTAGTTTATAGTCTATGTGGCTTAGACTAGACTAGAAATAAGTGGATAAAGTCATTAAATAAATGCATTAAAAAGATATATGGTATGAAATATGCATTTTTGTTCAGAAAGGAAGATGAAATCTGAATTCTATTTCTTGTATAATTGATTATAACTTATGAGTACAACAATTATTAATATCTAAAAGGTATAATTTATCTATATCATAAGAAATGTAAAAGTGTTTTGAAAACTAAATGAAGGGTATGTTTGGGAGTTATTTTGTTTTTGTCTTTTGTTTGTTTGTGTTTTTTTTTTGTTTGACATAGGAGTATTTTGTTTTGAAAACTAAACTAACATTTAAAAGTGGTTATGATATGGATAAAATTATTTTTTCAAATATTGATGTTTGACAATTAAATAAAAATTGATGAAACATTATTTAGAATGTCAAAATTGCACCTCACCCCTTTCTCTACTATGCTCTTTCAATATTGGAAGAAATATTTTGTCCCGATTAATTACATTGTTTCTTTATAATTACATGATACTCCTTTTCTCATTTTCTTAGGAAACTAAAAATCGGGTCCCATGTCCATTTAGAAAA